CATGCAAAATAATTTAATTTTGTAATGCCCTAAAAGGCTATGATCTAGAACAGTTGGTCATGGAACTAAACAGAGGGGACACAACCTTGAACTGATCTTAAGTGGTGCCACCAAGGACCTAGATGTGCTAGATGTGAGTGCAACTGAATCAGCTGGAAAATGCCACAGAGCTGTCAGATTAAATTCACATGTAATTGGAAAATTCCCAAGGAAGTCCCACACAATCCACTTTGATTTAAAAAAAAAGAAAACTTCTTTAAAATGAGGGTGCTAATAAAAAGGGAGTTGAAAGGGGGAATCAAGAGGATTAAATTACTTCAAAAATTTGGAGTTTACACAAAACTCAGCTAGCATGTATATTGGTAGCATGAAGTCCAAAAGAACACCAGCATGGTTAACAAGCAGTGTCAAGGAAGCCAGTGGAGGAAAAGAGAGTATTTTAAACTATGTCAGAAGCAGGAGATCAGCTAGCTAGGAAGGCATTGGATTGTTGGATAACAATGGATTTAAAGCAGTACTAAAGGAAAACAGGAGTGGCATCCTATGCATGTTTAAACAGAAACAAATCTTGTGATTCCCAGCATGCCCCAGCAGTGCTGGTTGGTGAAAGCTGTGAGGGGTGTGTGTGTATGTCTGTGTGGGTGTGTGCATGGCAGTGGGGCCCATCATCCACTGCAGCTTTTGCTTTTGAGTGTTGCAGGAACTCTTCATGGTGCTGAATATATTTGGAGAAAGAATTCAGCTGCATGGATAGGTCCTATAGAGTTCCCATAAAACTGAAAGGAAAAAAACAAAAACAAAACCACTCACCTTCAACAGGTTGTATGACATTTTTCTTTCTAAACATGCATAGGATTGTATAGTTAAGAAAAGATGGAGAAGCTGAATGATTTTTTAAATCCCTTTTTTCTTCACAGCAGAAGACACCTGTTCCTGAACTGATGTTTTCAGAAAAGCAATCTAGGAAACTGAGGCAAAATGTGGGACAAAAGATAATGTTATTAACAAGTAAAGTTAATTAAGTGCTAGCATACCTAGGGACAGCAGGAAAGTCACCAAAGCTTCTTTCCCCCATGACTGACTGAACCCAGCCAATTGAAAAAACCATGAGGTAAAGGATCTAAAATCTAGAGTCATGCAATACCTAGGATTGACCAAAATTCTTCAGAAGTATACAAGTTTTCAGGTTTCACAGGGTGTGAGTTCTCCTGAACTCAGCAGGTGGAGCCTGCTGTTTGTGCCACCTGGATTTAAATTCTGGAAAATTTGTAAGCTTGCACATTTTGAGAAATGTCTGTTGGCCCTACTATAAGGTACTGCACAACTGTGGAATACAAAGAATATTAGAATACTCAAACTCCAATATTTCCCCTATTTCCCCTTCTGAAAAATCAGAATATGATAGCTAAGGGTTAGTACTCACAGATTCAGCTCTCTCAAATGCAGAAGAGATCCAGAGCTGTCTGTTCCAGAAATGGAAGAGAAAAAATAACAGAGGCAGACTACAAACAAGCATGCCATTCCAGGATTTGCCAAATGCTTTTTGCATAATTGAGCAAACTCAACCCCATCTCTTGGAAATGTAACATCAATTTCAAACTGAGAAGCAAGTGCCAGGATTTTCCAGGGCAAGAACACTCCAGGGCAATTTCTCCATACTTTGATAGCAGCAACTGAGAGAGAAAAAGAGAGAGAATGAGAAAAACCTTTCCCACTGTAAGGATTATGGCACCTGGGTGAAGTTTCAAGGTCCAAGGACCCAAAGACAGCAGAACTCTCTATGGAACTGCAAAGCTGTCTAGGTGAGAAAGCCTGGGTTTCTCTATCCATATCTGGTAATTTTCCAGCTGAAATCTTAAGAAAGGGCAACAATGCTTTGTAATGAAGCCTTCCCCTGCATAGTGCCATCCAGATATTTTGGATCTCAATTTCCATAAGCCTCAACCAAGATGGCATATGATTAGGAATCCACTGGGATCTGTCCTCCAAAAAAACACCAGATTGATGAAAGATGGATAAAAGGTTTAACTCCTGCCTCCTGCCTGCTGGAGTTAGGAGACTTGAAGCAGTGGGGAAAAAACTCTAATTTTTTTGTAAATTCAGAAACTGTTAATATGAGACAAGACTGTTAACAATAATTGTATTTTCCCTCTCTGTTGTCCAAATGGGTCTAGTCACATAGACCACAATGAAGGAAACTCAGCTTTGGGGATTTGGCTCTTTTTATTCTCACATCATGTGGGGTGGGGGATGGGAATCTGCTCCAGTAGTGGACATTCTGCAGATTTATGTGGGTCAGCACCACCAAGATTCTTGTAGTGGACACAGAGACCACTATGCCCTCAAAGAGCAGTATGCCTCTTCACTGCTGCTGTTTTATAAAGAACATTCTTCAACTAGCAGGACAGAAAATTAGGCCTGACCCAGTGAATGAGAACATTAACAGTCTTCTTTTCTTTAAGCTTTAAGTCCCCCCACATGATCTGCTGGATGAGATCCAGTACCTATTGAATGAGTTTAGGGAACACAGGTGGACATCTAGATGGCTGGCGAGTCTGGGAAATAAAGAGAACTTGGTGGCACATTCTGCCATCTTGTTATTCTACAGCAAATTTTCTTTTTTCTCCACCACCCCCTTTTCTGAAAGAAGGTCCATGCCAGGCATCTGATCCAGTAGACAACTGTCTTCTAATCTTTATTTATTTGAAGAATCACACTAACGGAGAAAAAGAATTCTCCAATATGATTCAGCAAGTGAGGAGAGAATCTGCATCTTAAAATGAATTTAATGAGACATCTGCCCAGTCCTCAGCACTGAAATGAAATGGAACATTATAAAATTCCATTTCATTGTGATATTTTATTATGTTGTATTCTAAATAGTATACTACCTTCTTTTTGTTTTACTTTATTATTCAAGTGAGTATTTATGGCTAAGAATATAATCTGGAATGCCATGTACTTTCAATTTAAGCCTCTGAGGAAGTATTTCACAAGTAAACAGCAGCTTGATAACAGCAACTATTCCCTAAGACTAGTGTGAGTTTGGCTATGAATTTCTCTTAGATCGATTTTAAGTTGCCAGTTAAGATTCACTTCATGTAAAATGTTGTAAAATAGAAGCTTTCTTCTATTTTAGAAGAAAGCTTCTTCTTCACAGGGCATCATGTGTGTTACTAGTGCAAGTCTGCACCCCACCAATGCCATTTATTTATATTAAAAGGTGGCGTGAAAATTCTGCAAAGTTTCATTGTATAAACAGCATAAACTAGAGTGATCCAACTACAAAACAGATCAAACACAAAAGACAATAAAATTACAGTCTAGGCAGATAGGGGATCTCCTTCCAGCCTTTAAGAGAATCTGTTGTCACTGGGGCAATTCTTATTAACCCCCTATTAGTCTGGTAACATTAGGCGCTTACAAGATTTGGGGCCCAATCTTTCCACTGATAGCAGTGGACTTCCTCTTCTTGCTCAGTGCCAATGATGTGACCGTGGTGGTCATGCGCTTGGATGTACCACATGCCATAGTACATGCAACATGAGTGTGCATGCGGTGAAATATGCAACTTAATGTGGAGGCACGCATGGTGAACTAATTACTGTTACCCGTGCCTTTCGTGCGAAGAGCATCCGACTCCAGCTCTCTCTTCCGAGCCGAATGCAGCTGAGCGTTCCTCCCGCTCCCCCTCCTCGCCACTCTTCTTTTCCAGGGCAAGCTATTTGGTCTAAATGGCTTCTTTGAAATAAATATTCTGGAAAGCAGGATCCGATTGGCGGCCGCCGATCCCTTTTCATTTTTCCTCCAGGCAGCTTTCTCCAGCACGCCAACGCGTTTGTTTTGTTTTGTTCCGGGGTCTGCGTGTATGTCCGTGCGGGGTGTGTGTGTGTGTGTGTGCGGGCGCGCGAGCGTGTTTTAAAGCGATTAGCATGTGAAAAGCCAAACACTCTCCTCCCCCGACCAAGATGCTCCTTGCACCGTCAGATCTGGTGCGAAGGAGGAAGAGGGGGAGAGAAAAAGCTCTGGAAAGCAGGCAATTTCTAAGTTGCCTTGGGCTCGGCCCCCCTTCTGGGCGGGGGGGGGGCAGAGACCCCTTTTGCCCTTCGAGCGAGCTCGCGCGGGGAGGGGGCGAGGGAGAAAGGGTGCCCACCTCGCTGCAGCGTTAGAGGGCGGGCTGACTTTTGAATATCCGTCGTCCCCTCGGCGGCGCTGTCCGCGGTGCTGAAAAAGACAAGCCCCTCGACCAGCTGACTCGCTCGGCGGCCGAGGCTGCCCTCCCTTCCAAAGGCGCGCCGGGCTCGTGCGCCTAGGGCCAGTGCAAGGCGAGCGAGCGAGCGAGCGAGGAGGGGTCGGAGGCGCGCGCTCAGCGGGCACGCGCACGCTGTCTCCCTCTCGCTGTCTCCCTCATCCCCCGCCCCCGCTTTCCTTTGCCCATCTTGCCTGGCTTGGTGCGCGCGCGCGCGCGCGCGTGTGTGTGCAAGAGAGAGGGGAGAGAGAGAGGGAGAGAGAGTGGGAGGGCGTGTGGCGGGTGTGCGCGCGTGAGTGTGTGTGCATGTCGGTGTGCGTGTGGCAGAGAGGGGCGAATGTGTGGGATTGCCTGAGAAGGAGCTGGATGTACCGAAGCGCCGGGACTACAGCAGCGGCAGCGGCGGCGGCGGCAGCAGCAGCAGCACCGAGCCCCGCATTCCAGGCGCCTCTTCCTTCCTGGGGCTGGCCTCGGGACCACTGCAGCAGCGGGCCAAAGCTTCCTCCCCCCCGCAGCCCTTTCTGTTCCTCTTTCTCCCCCTTCTCTCTGCTGAGGGCTCCTTTCCAGCTTGGGTCCTTCATCCGCTTGCCCAAGATGCAGAGGATCTAATTTGCTGAGCGAGGAACGGGCACGGAAGAAGAAGGAGGAGGAGGAGGAGAGGAGGCGGAGGCGGAGGAGGAGGAGAGGCGGCGGCGCCGGCAGCAGCGAAGGAATATTCTGTGGCTTTGTGGATGCTCTACTTTTCATGGCAATGCAAAAGATTCGGCAGATTTCTCTCTTCCTGGCTCCTTTGGTTTGGGGACTCATCTGGGGGGTCTACTCGAACGGCATACAAATAGGTGAGTGTCCTCTTTGGAAGCAGCCTTTTGCCTCCCCCCGCCCCTATCCTCCCCTAAGAATTCTTCCTCAAACGAGGACACTTTTTGCATCCATTCACTTCGCGGAGAAGGCTCGATTTAAGGCTATATCCCTTCTGCGCTGGACTGAATGGATGCAAAAAGTGCCTTCATTTGAGATCAACTCCTCGTCTCCTCCTCTCCATTTGTGCTTTTCTGTTACGTTTATTATTCCATAAAATGTTAAATCCCTTTCGTCCCATCTTCTATTTTCCCTTCCCTCTAAACGCAACTCCTTTGGCCAAACCGGTCCGAACACTTAAACATGCCAAGCACTTCAGCTTAACCAGTGTACGGATGACATTTGCAAAGGTGCAATCTATCTCCCATTCAAACTGAATAGAGGGGAACACAAAACAGCCCCACAATTGCACTGAAAGGACCTGGTTACGCTCTTGGTGGAAAGAAAGCAGCATGCTGTGGGAGATCCACAGACTGATCTCCCCCTCCCACCATGCCGGGGTATTCAGTATCTGAGACGGCAAGGTATGGCTGAGATGCAAGGCTAGAATATCGTCCTTAGGATCAATGAGTCTGGAGGCCAGTCCAATCTGAGGGAAGTTCCAGGGCTCGGAAAAGAAGGTATCTTTTTGCTGTAACAGGCAGTGCAGCTGCCAAGCCTGCAAAATTGACACCCTCTCTCTGTGTGTGCTTCTTGTCCTGTTTTTATGTGTGTTTGTCATCTTACAGGGGGGCTCTTCCCCAGAGGAGCCGATCAGGAGTACAGTGCATTTCGGGTAGGAATGGTTCAGTTTTCCACTTCAGAGTTCCGACTGTCACCTCACATCGACAACCTGGAGGTGGCCAACAGCTTTGCAGTCACCAACGCTTGTGAGTAATTAGTGTTCTGTTCCTCTGGATCATCTCTTCGGCACCCCTTGGCTCCTGGATGGTGGGGAGGGCTAGCAGGTGCAAGGCAGTGTGCGTGTGGGATCATGACTTCGGCATTCAACCCCTCCGGAGAAGCTGGTGGCATTCAGGGGGGCGGGGAAAGGAAATTGGACAAAGGAGTGTGCACTGACCTAAGTGCATCTGCCTCTGGTGGAGGGTTGCTCTATCACCTGCTCAGGGTGGTCCCTTGCTGCTCCAGCCCCTTCGAATGAGATTGTACTAGTCGGTTTGCAAATTGACTTGAGCTTTCAAGGATATCACTCTGGTTCTTTGTATTATGTATTACATAAGGTTGGCTGCAGCAGTGGCTGGTTGTGTTGTTTGGAGGACTCCACCCTGCTCTGGATCTGAGGCCCATGTGGATCCTTGCCTGAGTGGGTGGGTGTGTTATTTACCTCCATATCTATTGTGACAAAATAATACCCCAGCCCTTCAATCCCTTGGGGTATTGGGGATAGGGAGAAAGACTGATTTTCTTCCCAAGAGATGGGGTCATTTGGTGAGAGGGCTTTCTGCAGATTCTCTCTCTCTCTCTCTCTCTCTGTGTTGGTAATAGGAAACTAGCAGTTAAATTCTCTCAATTCCACCACCCTTTCCACCTTGCCACAGAAAAGTCCTTGCAAAGCTCCTCACCTTTCCTCTGAACACAATTAAGGAAGGGTGTTGAGAAACAGCCTTCTGTGCCACAGGGCAGTGCTGGTTTCATGCAGAACAGCCCATGTGCACAGCAGGGGCCAGAAGAGTGGGGCGATCACCTCCAAGTGCCCCTTCTGGGTCATGTCCTAAGGAATGGTGGTTGGTTGCACATGGCATAAGGCCATACATGCCAAGCTTGCCTGCTGCTTTAGTCTTTGTCATTCAGAAGCCCACATTCCAACATATGCCTCCTGCTAAAAGAGACATCTGTCCTCAAGGCTATCTCAGCCCTCGAGGTCTCTCTCGGTTTCCTAAAAGGGCTCATAGGAAGACATTGCTTGAGGAAAGAGCAAAATAGCTGCAAATGGATTGTTGGGTCTGAACAGCAATTGCTGCATGAGACACTGATCAGCCATTTTCCTTTTTGCAATTCTCCATATTAGAATTATGCTGCCCATCCTTCTGTCAATAAATCAGAGCAGTTTGGGGAACACTTTTTTTAAAAATTTGGGGAGGAAACTAATTCAGTAGCAACTACAGCATAAGTGCACAAATGGCTCTTGCCCATCCAATATCCCTGCTACAGGGAGCATTGCTTTGCTGCAAGAGCAGTCTTGCCTTCCATCAGTTCAGATGAAATTTTAGCATCTACAGTGTGCCCATGTGACTAGTTTTCCTTCTCTTGCTTGGCATTATCTTGATATTTGTCTTTTGTAAGGTTCAGAGGGTTTTCCAGTAGATGTCGTTAATAGGCACAATGCAGCTATTGCAAGGGTCAAGTAGCAAAAATAATGTGATGGTAGAATCATATCTGAAATTACTGTATTTACTATCAACTTCCTTGGCTGGAGTACAAATCTCCGTAGGGGCTGGATTTGACAGAGCAATGTGGTTGGCATTATGCAAATGAGGGGCATAATGAGCTAAATAAATAAATAAATAACCAAGGCAATCATAGAAGGCTTTATTGCCTTAAAAAAAGAAACCCGGCTTACTAGGGTCTCCTCCAATGTCTCCTCCTCCTTTACCAATACTGGTGGTAAAGCTAGGACTTGAAATGTGAGGAATTGCAAGGTGAAGGTTTTTTAATTTGTGAAACAATGGACTTATTTCTTTTGGCTTGTACTGGAAAGATACATCTTAAAAAGGGAAATATAAATTTTAAAAATTAAAAGTAAAATGAATCTGTGTGGTAGGTGTGGAGGAGACATCCACTGAGGTGCTGACCTGGCCAGAATATTACATCCAACTAAGATTATTAGAATTACAATTCATTATTCTTACTTTAAGAAATGTGTGGCATTTTGTCATTTTCTGAGATTCTAAGACCTTTACATCCAGGACAGAGGGAAAACAAGAGTGGTGATGTGTCCACAGGGATCTAATCACATACCCAACAGGGATGTGATAGCCAAGTGCATCTTCCTGCAATAAAAATGAACATTGTGTTGAGAGATTATAACAAAAACAACTATGAGCTTTGGCATTTTAAGAACATCAGGCCATAAAGATGTGGAGCAGACCAGGGGCCTATTTAGTCCAGCATTCTGTTCCCACATTGGCCAATAAAATGGTCCCACAGGAAGGCACAAGCAGAACATGAATGCAACTGCCTCTTCCAGTTGGCATGGAGCTGTAAGGCCTATGAAACTGGTGTTAATAGACAGTCATGACTCAATCCTACAGGCTCACCATTATCTTGTAGCATTAGTGTCTGCAGGCAACAAACTTTGTCATTACATGCCCCTTAAACCTTGCAACATACTACAGAATTCTTTGTTGATACTATGGAAATAGTGTGGACAGGTGACACTGGAACCTTTTAGTAACCTTTTAGATGACATTCTGCTTGGTTGTGAATGCAAAGTGCTTTTTGCTCTTTTTCTTAGTGGATCTTTCTCCATCCACGGGGATCATGCAGAATCCACTGTTTCTGTTGTTAATTGCAATCTAAAATTTGTTTCATAGTCCTTAGATATGTGAATCTGACTAAACTGCAAAGGCTTTTGAACATGCACAGAGTGTGTTTTCCTCACTCATGCAGTTCTTTTTCTGGAGCAGAGGGAGGGAAAGCTCTGAAGAAATGAACCTTGTTATCTCTTTCAAGGAATAGATACACTGTCAAGACCTGGAGAATCAATAAGCAGTTCACATAGTAAAGGACTATTAGGTATATGCTGTGAAAGATCTGGAAATGAATAACTACAAGCCACTCAAAATATAAATAAGAACACATAATCTTTAAGGATACAGAGGAGGGAAAATGCTATGGAGTAATAAACATGCTGTAATATTCTGGATCAAAAGGTCATCGCAGACCAGCAAAACAAATGAACGCAACTACATTATCAATTCACCAACTTTATAAATCTCTATCCCACTTGTGAGGAAAAAATCGTCGCATGGCTCACAAAGGATTTAGAATTAGAACAATAAGATGCTCTGTAGAAAGTGGAGCTATCATCTGACATTACAGTGGATGATTTTAATGTCCAATGAATATTCACAGAGAGAAAGCAATGCATGAATCTATTGGCTCAATGCAGCAATCTTTCGTTTAAACATCATCTTCAATGTGCACATGGTGCATTAGTACATAAGAAAAGATGGAGCCCTGTCCCAAGGATCTTACAACCTGAAATTTGAGAGTGAGGAAAACAGGGGATATGATAGGACAGCATGGTCTGGGATGACCTGGAAGGTGGGGAAAGATCTGGGCAATAATAAATAAATCTGAGCAAATGCAGTACCAGCTAGTTTGTCTTTACTGCTGTTGGAATTAGATGTTCAGTTTATGTGAAAGACTCAAGAAAATTAGGATTTTAGGATGAATTTGAAGGAAGGACAGATGGAAGGAGGTGATATGGTACCACATTCATATTCTGGAATAAGAGGCAGCAAGAGAGTAGATGACAGTGGAAGTATTGGAGAATGACAGAAATTTCCTGGAAAATATGGGAGAGATGGGTTGGAACGATGCCATGAAGCGCTTTAATGGTCAGACATTAGTGTTGAATATGGGAAGGGATTGGAAGCCAGTCGAGGAGTCAGAGAAAAAGGTGCAGGAGAGTTCCTATTTGCGTCAATGGATGGGCCTTAGCTACACATGAAAGGAGGATGTACTGGCTTTCAATACACCATTCTTATTTTAATTGGTGCCAAGGGAAAACTATATCTCCTTCCCCTTCCAATATATTTTATCATTGCTGTTCACCATTGGTGAACATTCAGTTTACAAGACAGTTGTCACTGCTGTATTTCATTCTGAGTTTTAGCCTGTCTGATTTTCAGAACACTTAAACCAATGTTTAGGTATTCATAAAACATTGACACTTGAGCTACTGTCTACAAACAGCTCAGTCCAATCTGGGGCTGCTATGGAAAAGTAGGCTATGGATTTATTCCCTATCCCATCAATGGATTTCTCCCCAGTTGCCTATGCATCATGTGCCCATAATGTAGAGAATGAAATTAAATAGTAATTAATCTAGATGTCCCATATTTCATTTTAACACAATATCATTAATATGATAATTAAAATATTGTATTATAATATAGTCACTATAGTGCAGGGTTGAACTTGGACCAGGGAAAGATGGGCAGACATTCATTACATTTTAATATTAATAACTCAGTGTTAATTTAATTTAATATTATGTTTTCCTCTGGTAGTGATAGCTAACTGAATAACTTTATGGAACCTTTCTTTTCTGTCCTTTTCTCACTACCACCATCATGCTATAAAACGTGGTTGCCTTGTGGAATAGGTAATGAATCTCTTTGGGTGTTTATATATTAATATCAATTAATGAAGATGAATTGGGGATTTCTTTCAACCTTTCTAAATACCATTTGCCTAAGTGCTGCTATCAGTCAAAAATGATAGCATATATTTTCAAGAAGCAGATGGGAACCTTAGCTTTTATGCATGCATATGTCTTAGCATCTTAGCTATGAATTTTACAATTGACAGCATCACAGAGATGGAATGGACATCTGTGTAATATCAATGGCCAGAAATGTTAATCTTGGTGTAATATGTTGGCTGTAATAAAAGCACAGCAGGTAATATCACTCCAACCATGTCTTGAGGCAGATAAGTCAATGCATTTACTATATGGTTTCTCATGGTTTCACATTTATTACTGTAAATAATATATAAAGAAGAAGTGGAACAGTGTAAATCACAGTCAAGGCCTTTATCAATTGATTCCGTGCCCCCCCCCCCCCCCCCCCCAAATAAAAAGAGAAAAGCATCATCGAAGGGCTGGTTCATGGACAAACATGACTTAATTACTCTAGTC